TAGCGTACAGTACGGCGTCGAGTATGATATTACAGTAACGTTATCCATTTAAATCATGCAATCCTGCAACCCTGAGATGCAGTTTGGCCTAATGAATTGATGGCATTTGATTGGATGTCATCATTTCTTGATGAGTTAGCCCCATAAACTGCTGGTAAAACCCAGCTAGGGCAACTCTCCAAAATTTAAATAAATAACCAAAAGTAGGGATGTATGATTCTGTGTTTTGATTGGATAACTTCATGGGAATATTCGATAACCAATCACAAAGTCGCTTGCCTCTAATTGGCTCGATTCAAATCTACAAATGACGCTTTTCAAATCTGTCAGCAAGTCCAGCACGCATTTCCAAATGAGCGCAACCAAGGGAAAACAGACGCGATACACAAATGGCCAGCGCAAACAGCTCCTGGCCAGGTTCCGCGCATCAAATGGCACCAGTGAACGCCAGTTCTGCCGTGACAACAAGATCTTCCGTGGCACATGGCAGGACTGGCGTTCACGAGAGTCAGCCATCATGGCAAGTAAACGCCACAGCCGGCATGCGACCTTGGGCGGCCAAGGGCGCCGTGAGCTGTTGCCGTTCAAGGACGACCGCTTGGCCTACATGCGAGCCAAACGTGACTCCGAAGAGCACCTACGGGTGTTTCACCTCATGCGCTGCGTGAATACGAATCACAAAGAGTGGCTCGTGCAGTACCTGGCGCCCAAGAAGAACGAAGCGTTGGCGTATCTGTCGTTCCGAAGTCTCAACCCCGAAACCCCGAAACCCCGAAACCAGCCGGTGTCAGGCGCTTGATGTCGGCGTGATGGGTGCTTTGAAGGCCATGCTGAAGACAGCGTGGTTGCTAGAAGACGACGAACGCAACGGCGATATCTTAACGGCACAAGAGAAGCGTTTGGCCACAGTGAAACGGACGATTAAGGTATGGGATCGTATTTCGATAGACACGATTGTGAAAACCTTTGATAAAGCGATCCCATCAGTACTTGAGATTTAATTCATAACAATTTGATGGTCATGCATTGTGTGAGATTGTTGCGGACACTCGTATGCGCGTTATCCGGTTTTACCTGGATTAACTTTTTTAGAAAAAAAAGGACGCGTGCGACGCGCATTATCCGGACTCACTGACTTTAGTTTTAGCCAATACATGTCGTCTTCACGGAGTTGCACGAAGTGATTTTCATTATATTTTGATTGTGCGCCATACCATTGAACATAGTATTTTCAAGTCATGGGTAAAAGTTGCACTGGCCGGGTTTTACCGGCAACCACTGTACGACGGATCTTGCTGGATCTAACGTTAGTAGAACGTTCAGTTCTAGATTCGTCGTTATGAACATATTGAAACGAAGAAAAAGACCGTGGGATGCAATAAAGTAGAGTTGCGACGTTAGTTCAGTGACATCGTTTTGATGCCTGCGTGGAGCGAAGGGTGCTTTTGGTGAATAATTCCCTCGTTGTTTTGACCCGAAATACTGTTTCAATGAGGGAATTATTACATCTGGATAAACCTTTTCGCCAGTAGCCCTGTAACCTGGGACTCCGTCCTACATACCCCCGGTGAGTACATACAATGCAGTTAACAGATACAGTTAGCCATAGCTAACCACTGACCACTTAACCCCTAGTAAGAAGTGAGGTGGTCTGAGCATACAAAGTTCCTTATAAACCTTTTTGACAAGCAGTAGGTCGGGTTAAAACAAAAGTGGAACTTGAATGAGGGAATTGTACTGCTTTTGGTACATCAGATTCAAGTTGACTTGTCGCAGCATACAGTACAGTAAGCTTATCAAGGCGCGAGGGTCTTACATATTTTAGTTTTCCGTAGACAACGACTATCAAGTTTCCATGTAGACGCGATCGAATCCGTGAAATGTATTGGACATTCATTTCCTAGTCTTGAACACGTCTGCGAAAGGTACTGTACAGTAAGTACAATTGGTGCTTAAGTCTTTGTCGACCAAGTTGGTCAATAGCAAGTGCAAGTTTGGTTTGATTTGAATTTTCCAATTTGAGTATTCAGATACAAATATTCAATGGAATCCTATGTTACTGTACTAGCCCCTGTTCAGTCGTTGAGTTGTAGTTGAACGTACGGTGATCCTGTGCGTTTACTTTAGAAAGCTCCTGGTAATTTTGCGTCGGAATGATCGATTGCATTCGGCGCGTCTTATTGCGCAGTCAACTGCGAGCCAACGCTTGGATTCAAGCGGACCCCTCAGGTTGAAGGGATTCAAATCCTTCACAGCTGCGTTTGTAGCACCAACTAGTCCGCTTTTCCTGTAGTAGATACTTTCACTTGAACTTGGCTTCGAAGTCCAGCCACCACATACAGTACTAGTACAACTCAGTCGCCTTCAGCTTCGCCTCACCGTCTTCCCGTCCAACGACATCTTCCATCGTCAATCACATCAGCACCACCCACGACGGTCTTGGCGGTGTCGGCGGCAAGGTGGAAGTGCTTAGACCTCGGTGTCGACCACCGCTATGACTCCGACTTCTGGGGGGGCTGGGGACAACGACACCCCCACTCTCACTCCATCGATTCAAATGCACTGTTGGCACCTCCAGGCTTTCCGGTTACGAAATTCAGCGCCCCCTCGCTCTGCCCGTGCAGCAACGCTATAGTATGTTCCAATACGGGTATAAACATACAGTATTGTACCATTCATGTGCCATCGAGATTTTCTTCACGGATTCTTCAAGTCCTGGTGGAGAAAGCAGAGCTCATTCCATCAATTCAGCACAAGTTGATGGGTACGACGTTGAATAAACACCCCCCTGTCCCCAGACAGGTTGTCATTGCCACAACACCTTTCTTCAAACGTTACTGCTAGTATTCGGACAATCAATCGACGAATGGTGATTTTGTTAACTTGTGCACAATATTGGCGCCAATGACGCATGTTCTAACTTCAAATTGAACTACTGTATATCACCTTGTTCCACTAGGGGGGGGGGAATAGCTCAGGTGGTAGAGCATCGGTTTCTTAACTCAAAGGTCGTGGGTTCGATCCCCGGATTCCCCGGATTATTTCCGCAAGGATTTATCCGTCCCTCCCCTGGGGAATCCGGATAACAAGGGCTGCGTACGAAGACGAGGACCGAACTTCGAAGAAGATCGGTCGAAGCACGAGGTATGAAGCGTTGAGCGAAGTAAAAACCGAAGATTACACACCGCCCCTGGTCGAGCAGGCGCGTTACAATTGGCGAAGCGGTTCCATAACATGTGGTTCTAGTGTCGGCCCTCGCGGAGGAATGTCTTAAAAATGATAATCCAAACTCAATTAATCACCTTGTTCCACTACAACTGCAACCAACATATGTATACCGTTGGTTGCAGTTTGTAGCCGGGGTGCCCGAAATTGTTGGCCAAAGGCAAGTTCACGAAATCTATCGCACCATGCGTGTCGGACAAGCTGCGGAATCTCATTACAATCCAGTAAGGCGGCAACTTGATCATCCTAAGTAAAGTGCATGTTGTTTGTACTGTATGTCCAGAACAAGCTGGTCCACGTGTACCGTTTCGACGTTTCCTTTACAAAATGACGTGTCTTCCCCGTCTTT